CCACGGATAATCCCGGTCAACGCGTTTTCTTTTTGAAGGCGCGTGACGAGCTTCACAATCGCCCATGATATCCTTAAAGCATGTCCACAGTTCGTCCACGTTGTTAATTTTATCGAAAACAGGGAGCGACGATTCTAAATGGGCGAAGATAGCAGCGTGATCTGCATGTGCATAGTCCCTGAAATAAGTATCTCTGGATTCCTTTGTTTTTTGAACTAGTGTTAAAGGACACGAAAGAGAAACAATCTTGTGGTCGGAAATCCCATCTTCAACACTTATACAACAGTTTTCAAGGGAATTACTTCCAAACATGAGATCAAGCACAGATGAACAAGAACCTACAATACGCGTAGCACTACACACTAGTTGTGACAATGAGAAACTAAACGCTGTTAGCAACAATGATTCCGCACTTGCTACCTCTTGGTGATCATGACCCAATTCAGGCCAGTTAATTCCTGGCAAATTAAAATCTCCGCATAAAATTATCTTCGAATGTGAATTTGTGTGCTGTGCAATATAGTCGTGCATAATCTCTAAATATTCAGGAGAAGAGTTTGGTGGACGATACACTGTGCCCAAGAATATGTTTTTTCCATAAAAATTGGTCCGGCACCACACACTTTCATGGTTGCTAATATCCTCTAAATGGGAAAACTTCACATTCTTTTTTATAGCTATCGCTACTTTGCCGCCTCTTGTTGTTCTGTCTTTGCGGATTAATTTGTATGAGGAGGGGACAACCTCAGAATCAAGCACGCCTTCGTGCAACCAGCTTTCTGTAATAACTAAAATATGTGGATTGTGGTTTAGTACTAGGCTTTCCAAAAGAGTTAGTTTGTTTAAAACGCTGCGTGCGTTAAGTGATACAATTCGAAGGGTTTTAGAACGCTCCCGTCATTTCTTCGTTTGAATTTCCGGCTGCCTTTGCGTAGGCGTAACTGATTTTGTCATTCTAACCCTTCGATTGTGTTGCGAATCCCAGACGAACAGTTTTCCGTCCACTTTTAACTTGTCATAAATTAGCGACACTTTTAAGCCTTCGGCCCTGTCCTGTGCTGCAGAATGCCAAAGTTTCTGTCGTGTATCACACACTATTTTTGAAAAATCCTCCGAAATTGCTATTTTCGTTCCTTTCAGTTTGCTGCAGCAGGACAAAATTCTGTTTTTTTCTGCAAAGTCATAAAGTCGAAGGATTATCGGACGGTGGCGTTCTTTGTGATATTTTCCCACTCTATGAATCCTTTCTAATGACTTTACTTCTATGCCTAATACTTTCTGGAATACTTCTTGCTTAACTATGGCCTCCAGTGACTTCCAATCTTTGTCTACTTCTTCATTAATACCGTATATTACGAGATTGTTGCGTCTGCTCCTATTTTCTAGGTCGTCTACTTTGGCCGATAGTTCAAGAAGTTGGATGTTTGAGCTGCTACAGGCTTCCTCACACACCGTCAACTTTTGTTCAAGCGTTTGCATGCGACATATTTCCTTTTCAATAGACGTAACCCATTCTTGAACGTTGGTCACCGCAGATTCGACTCTTTTTAGGTCGGAAGTCAATTCTTTCAAAGATTTGGTAGTTTCCCTTTGCTGTTTCAAAATTTTTTTCGGTAGGTCATTAGTCGAACTGGATTCAGACTCTGAGTCTGATGTTGACCCCGGATTGGTTTCTATATCGCCAGCGGTTAGTAACAGCAACTTGATAACATCAGCACAATCTTTGACAGTTTCAAGAAGAAAATGTGGACTTGGCAGCACCATTAAGGCCAGGGAGTCATCTCGAATGGAAGAAGTGTATTGCACACTAACCTGGATAACGAACAGTAGAGGGATTAGCATCCTGTCCCTTCTGGTGCAACCAAGTCCACTGAAAGATTCGTCGTTGCGTCCGGTATTTATACGGTCGAGATGAGGGCCTTCGGTTGACGTCACTGTGTCAGTCCGCCACTGTCTGCGCAGTATGCTTTCGTTGATGTCGGGTGGTAGCAGTTTCGTTGCGTCCATGGCGCATTTGTCCGGCGCAGGTGTTGTGTTGACTTGCAAACTGGCTGGATCACCGGCCGCAGCGATATGCCCCGTAGACCACAAAGCGACCTGGATAACGAACAGTAGAGGGATTAGCATCCTGTCCCTTCTAGTGCAACCAAGTCCACTGAAAGATCCGTCGTTGCGCCCGGTATTTATACGGTCGAGATGAGGGCCTTCTGTTGACGTCACTGTGTCAGTCCGCCACTGTCTGCGCAGTATGGTTTCGTTGATGTCGGGTGGTAGCAGTTTCGTTGCGTCCATGGCGCATTGGTCCGGCGCAGGTGTTGTGTTGACTTGCAAACTGGCTGGATCACCGGCCACAGCAATATGCCCCGTAGAGCACAAAGCGACCTGGATAATAACGAACAGTAGAGGGATTAGCATCCTGTCCCTTCTGGTGCAACCAAGTCCACTCATAAGGAAATGAGAGCGGCATCTATGGCGAGTACGCGGCAACCGTCTTCTACAGACAGCTGTCCAATGTCCTGAAGAAACTGAAAACTGCCCTGAAGATATGTCCTGAATCAAATGAAAACTGGCCTGAAAACTTGGGTGTAGCAGTGAGAGAGAAACAGCAGCCCTTTCTGTGCAGCTGCGGATAGGGAGAGAACGAATGTGAAAGCGTGGAGGGCCACTCATGGGATGCTCATGTTGCTACAGAGGTTGTGAAGGCCACCAAATCATTTAACTTTATACAGCGAAACTTGAGATATGCACCAGCACGTTTGCAATTACTGCATATTTAGCATACATTCGCCCTATGCTTGAGTGCGCTTGTCCAGTATTAGATTCCTTGGCGTATTTCTAATTGACAAACTTAAAAAAATACAGAACAGAGCTGCAAGGTTTGTCCTAAGCCACTACTCGAAAATCACAGCTGTGCCAATATTAAAAATTAACTAGGCTGGGAATAATGATCGTCTTGTCAAATTAAACTGCAGTTAAAGCTCCTATGTCAAGCATCTCGTGGTAAAACTCGCTTTTGAAAATAAATGTACCTACACAGTCCTCATTATGTCGTTTCACTCTATGGTCATTGTTTTAAGCCTTTAGAATGTTGTACTAGACCTAATTTGTATGCTAATTCGTTTTGTTCATTCCATTAGGGAATGAAATGGCTTATTAAGAGAACAAGTGCGCTGTGGCAATGAAGACATACTTTTTCTTGACATTGTACCCCCGCTGCAGTAGTGCCTTTGGAATAGAAATGTGATGTGAACGCGACTTTTGTTTTATTTGTACAGTCGAATCTCGATAATTCGAACTCGAGGGGGCCCCGAAAATTTGTTCGAATTAAAAGAAGTTCAAATTAATGAAAGCTAAATAAACGGAGGGCTCTCCATGCAGTGGTGAATGTGCATTGAGCTAACATACGAGGGGGAAGTTTCAGAAGACTTACATTTATTTACTTTTGGCTCCAGCATCCTCCTGGCAAGAGAAGTTCCGCGCGAAAATGTCCAGCGCCGACATTATCTAAAGACGACGATAACAACGACTGCTGCATAGCAGAACCTCCCGCTCTCCGCTACGCAGCCACAGCGTGACGAGAAATGAGAAGCGTCTCCACGCGGAGAGAATATCAGAAAAAACCAACACTCCACGGCGGCTTTTTTTTTTTTTGCACTCTTCGCGGATGTCATTGAAAGGAGAAGGGTTACGTGATTGATTGATTGATTTGTGGGGTTTAACGTCCCAAAACCACCATATGATTATGAGAGACGCCGTAGTGGAGGGCTCCGGAAATTTCGAACACCTGGGGTTCTTTAACGTGCACCCAAATCTGAGCACACGGGCCTACAACATTTCCGCCTCCATCGGAAATGCAGCCGCCGCAGCCAGGATTCGAACCCGCACCCTGCGGGTCAGCAGCCGAGTACCTTAGCCACTAGACGAAGGGTTACGCGTGGCAGGGAAGGAAAAAGGAGAAGCACAGCACCAGCGCATGAGAGTTTCCCCTCCCCCCCCTCAAGGCGCAGAGCCGTGCTCCCGCAAGGGGCAAGAGCTGCAGAAGATAGTGCCTTTTTCCTTTCCTTCAACCACACATTCATTCAACCCAGTGACGGCTTTCTTCAGTGACGGCTTCCTTTTTTTTCCCTCTCTTGGCGCGCAGCGTTGGAAGGAGCACGGTCTTTACCTGGCAGGGACAAAAAAGGGAGAAGCGTGACACGGGCGCGTCGCAGATCGGCATTTGAGAGAGAGCAAACATTCCACCAGCATTTTCTTTCCTTTTTTTTTTTTTTTTTTTTTTTGCGGGCAGCGTTGAGGTGTCGCAGGTGCCACGGCGGGATTGGGCGAGGTCCTGAGAGAATTTTCGGAGCGCGGTATGTTCGAATTAATCGTCTGAAGTGGTTGGGCGTTAGAATTACCAGCATTTTCGCCCATTGGAATACACATAGCTTTGACGGGACCTCATTGTGAGTTCGAATTACCCGAAAGTTCGAATTAAGCGTGTTCGAAATAATGAGATTCGACTGTAATACCAGCGTCACTCGTGAATTTTTAATCGCGATCAGTGCCAATCTGGATCGACCACATTTTGGATTAAGTGCTGCGACATGGTCAGTTTTAATTGCGATCAGACCAGATCGGTATCAAGGCTGTCGCGATCCGCGCAAGGCAATCTGGCTGAGAGATTGCGATTTTGTGTCGTTTGCACCCCCTGGTCGATCTTGTTGAAAGCAAAAGCAACAAGAAAGTCGAGCATAGTTCTGTAAAAACAGATTTGAAAAGCTAGATATTTATTCATAAAAGACATGTTAAACTGTTTCAATTTAAAAAATATCTGTCGTATTGCATATCTTAAAATACGTATTGACCGCATGTATTTAAGCAGACACTAAGCATTTGACAACTTCTACTCTCGCACTGTCGCAGCAGTTGGAGCATCTCTAAGCAGGTTGTTTATGAGTGTCGCCAACTTTTCGACTACGTTGTAGCGTACGTGCACTTCGTGGGCGAATGAAGAGACCTTTCCATTAATTGACCCCAGGCTGGGACAACCGGGAGACTTGAAGCGCAGGAAGTGAAACTCTGGTGTGCACAACGAGATTGCCGTTTCACTGGACGGCTACAAGCAGGTGCCATCAGGAATAAAAGTGAAAATTAAGATTCTTGCACAGCAATACAGGTAAGTGCAAAAAAACAACTCTACTGAATGATGTGTTTATGACAAAATTTTTTAGGGCCACGCAATGTTTTCAACATTCGAGCTGTTCTTGCACAAACAAGATATTGTTGAATAATGACTTTATTAAAATATTGTACAGTCCAATCTCATTATTTTGGACTTCCAGTTAATTCGAACTCACGATCAGGTCCCGTCAAAGCTATGTGTATTTCAATGGGCGAAAACGCCGGGTAATTCGAATGCGCAAGCATTTTTGACGGTTAATTCGAACATACCGCGCTCCGAAAATGCTCTCAGCACCCCGCCCAATCCCGTGGTGGTGTTGAGCTGTGGTTGCACACGTTTCCCCGTATAGTTACCTGAACATTCAGGAAACACTTAGAGGTTACGATTACCCTTCATCCAGATATTATATATTGTTTCAGCTGGCAGGCACCTTTGGAAAGTGGAAGGTCAACAAACCTTAGTGAAACTACAGTTTATTCGGGCGACCCCATTACTTCCACCGCAAACGTGGCCTCAGCTCAAGTTTTACCGAGGGGAGTGCAGGCTCCTATTCACCTCGCAGCTTCACGTGATGGACGTTGATCAAAAGGACGGAGACGACATCTCAGAAAAACAAATTCCAGAAGACGATCCATGCACATAAGAAGAAAAATCGGGCAACTGATGGGGACATTCACCCAGTCATGGCATAGGAGACGACCGTCTAGGAACATACAGAAGATGAACGCAGGTCCAAAAAAGCTGCCCTTGCTAAAAGAAGACATCAAGGTCATTATCTGACTCAAGGACTCCATTGGCATCAACGAGTGGCAGAACATCATTGTAGTGAGTACACCTGTGCTTGCAAGAGGAGAAAAATACAGTGCGATGAAGCCCTTCCGAATAAGAGACAGAACATACGAAGTCACCGCATACACCATGGCGCCGGAAGATACGTCGAAGGGAATCATCCGAGGTATACCAGACTATGATACTTCCAGATATCGAGAAAAGCCTAGTGAACGAGAGGAACACCAGCGTATTACACACGAAGAAAATGGGTCGCACCGATCACGCGATCATTGTATTGCAGGGCATGTATGTACTACATTATGTGTACTACAGGAGTTGTGAGTACCGTTGCATACTGTACAAGAAGCAATATGAAACGTGTCACCCGTGCGGAGGACTAGGACACAGATCGGACGTTTGCCCCCAGTCGCAAGCAAAAAGGTGTCGTGAATGTGGCAGTGCGAAGCCCACTGCCAATGATCAGTGCGAGCCTAATGCCTTCTTTGCAGCAGGGACCACCCGACTGGTGACAAGAAATGCAAGGCAAGATTTGGTCCATTGCAACGAGAGTAGACTGTGTAACAAATTACAGAGCTTGTCAATTTACAACAGCCGTTGCAGCCAAGTGTCGTTTTCTGTAAACCTCCATTTTGTTGAATGCCCCCAGCCTGCTTGCAGTCAGTGAAGATGCTGCGGTAGAGAGTAACCCAGCGCTCTGGTGGTGGAACTTGTTTATCAGGCAAATGGAGCCAGATGGTCCGTGAAATCTGCAACTAATCAGGGTACAGTCTGCTGTCTGAACATATCGCTTCCCAGTTTAAATCTGGGCCCCCTCTGCTGATCCAGGCTAATGGACGAGCAGTGTGATGGGAGAGTGTTGTATGTAAGAAACTGATATGCTGCTGTACACAGATTCTAGGCAACTCGGCGGCCAACACAGCTTACCTCTTGAGTGAGCTCTACAAGTAGACGCTTTTGGTGCTCTAGGTTAGCATTGGAGGCCAGCGAGGCAAGCACAGATGTCGTGACAGCAGCTGGGTTGGCGCCTGCTGAGATGCGCTCAATCAGCTCGCTCACAGCCTGTCCCGACACTCTTGGTGGGGGAGGTGGAGGAGGTTCTTCAGTGGGCGTGGGGGTGCCTGCAATGCCCACCTGCAACAGACACACCCATCGCTTCAGAGGCAAATCCCAAAAAGGACAACACAACTTCCATATCAGTTACATGATGGTACTACACAGGCTCATTTCATTCCAATTTTCTGCACGCGCAGTGTGTTTATACGCAGCTGTGTCATTGCCAAGATGGCTTGAAACAGTACTATAGTCAAAACTCAAAAGTACGTACCCACTTTTATAATAACGGTTGAAACATAGTAGCGACAAATCACCGACAGTCTCTCATAGAGAAAAAAGCTTCCCGGGAATGCATGAGCCGTAGTGGTTGTCTTATGCCCACCGGTTAGTGTGAACCAACAGCACACCACATTAAGATTTTGAGCTATAAAAGTTTACTACGCCGCTGGACTTGCATACGTCACAATGTGCTGCAGACGAGTTTTCGTCATTCCAATAAGAGTGAAAATTTCCCGATCAAGTATTCCCGGTTCCATGCGATTGCAGAAATGTCTTTGCAGATAATCATAGAAAATAAACTGAAGGTGAGGTGGTGACAATCAACAATCTCACCGGTATGACTTATCACTTAGCAGCAGGTTACTGCCTGGCGTAGGCTCCAAACTGGCACCTACAAAAACCGACACACTGTATGTCGCATGTACCCCTTTCTTACAGGTATGACTGCCCTTGGCGCTGGTCCACACCAACCCGGCACATTATGTGGGAGTGCCCACTACTCAACCTCGAACAGCACCACATGAACACTGCGAACGAGCAATGGAAGCCACTGCTGTACAGCTTGGCCCTCGACGACTAGATCAGGCTCGTCCAGAGAGCGGAGCGGATGGCAACAGATACTGGAGCCCTGGACTAAAGGCCCATTAGTAAAGCCCCTTTAGATAAACCCACAGGAACTTTCTTTGCATGTACATAAATAAATAAATAAAGCTTGTTATACTGTATTTACTCGTGTAATGCACACACTTTTGTTTCTATAAAAAAGGGAGCAAAGTTAGGGGTGTGCTTTATTTTGCGGGGCAAATTTTATAAAGCTTTTTTAGATGAGCAAAAAATGCAGGTAATGAAAAAAAAAAAACGTTTGGTCACTTAGCTTTTTGCAATTTACATAAACACTGTTCGAAAACAGCTTCTTCGTTACACTTCACTCATCTTCGGTGGTCAAAGGCGCTATCTTCTGCAAGCTGCTCCCGTGCTGCCTGCACACGCCATAAAAGCAATTCCCGGCTATCTTTTCTCGCAATCGTTTAACCGCAACAACGGCATCTTCTGTGATCTCGAGAGGCACCCACAAGCATGTGCTATGACCAGGCCATTGCACTGTAGCAAGTAACCAACATTGCAGCAAGCACTGAAGCATGAAAACAAACCGTCGTTAAGAAGATGAATGAAAAAATATGGCCGCCGCATCGCTGTCCAAATGAGAAGTAAAAGGCAGCCTATACCTTGTGTTCCTTGAAGTATGCGCGGATAACAAGTACAAAGAGCAAATCGCAACCGAAGCGAGAATCGGGAGTGCTACCATGTTGCAGAAAAAGCATGATTTGTTATTAAATGATAAGCTTTTTTTTTTTTTTTTTCTAACATGAGCAGGGCTGGAAGTGGACTTGAGTGTTTTGGAGCCGCTCAGGGAGCAGGAATAATGCTGTTTTGAGGCAGCTTTGGCGCAGCAAAAGGGAAATTTTGGAGCAAGTTCGGAGCACTAAAAGGTGCGTTTTGGAGCAATGCGAATTATTTTGGGAACGACTTTCTAGCATCAGACATCATCGTCAATCAAAGATATTTCTCGTAAAAAAAATTACAATGGTTCGCACTAAACATACAGTACTAGCGAGCTTACCAGACTTAGCACCCACAAATATAATGGGTGTCTGTGATACAAAACATGCTCATTTAATACTCGCATTGAAACAAAAAGAAGTGAGTGAGTGAAACAACTTTATTGTTGATCCAGCATAAAGAAAAAAAGGAAGAGAAATTAAAGATAGACTAGCGTTCTTGGAGGTCCCGGAGCAGCAGCCTACTCGCGTTAAACCCATGGGGACGCGCTTTCAGCCGTTGGCGTTTCAGGATGCCAAGCACGTGCTGGACCACGTCTCTTTCGTTGCCTGGCTCTTGGCTCATTATTTTGCTGCTGATGTATATTCTGGGTGCTAAAAACGGGGAACTGTTTTTTTACGTGAACACTCCTACTGCAATGAGTCTCGCTAGCCACAGCAGCGTTGCAGCTGATGTTGCACCTAATGTGTGAAACGGCGTATAGGTAATCGCGGCAAACTTTGCCTTGCAGAAAGTTTGTTATCCCCATGCTAGTTATAAACACACTACTCTGCTCATCTGTGCTTGGTCTGAAGTGAAGTGGGGACAAGCAAATCACTCAGCAAATCCGTGCACACGGTAGTGCAAGCCGCCCGACATCAACGACGTGGGCGGCCGAGGCGCCATTCTGCACGGAACTAACCAGTAGATTTTCAGAGTCCACGCGACCGCTCCGCGTTTCAATGAAACTGTTAGTTGTCGCTTAGTATCGTGGTAGAGAAGCGCACATATGTATCGCGGAAAGCCAATAGTGTCTGTTCTATCGCTATTTCACTCGCTGCGTATCCCAGACGAGCCAAAATGCTCTTTGGCGTCAGCACTAGGTGCTATAAAACGATCGTTCTGAGAGTAACAGCCTAGTATATTTTTCGCGCTTTGGCAGAATGAAGAAAAGAGTTTCTGGCGGGTACTTTTGGCAACATTTGCTGTGGTACTGTACCTGTTTCAGGAAATATACATTTGTGCTGGTAAGCGCGCACTGCCATTTACCCGTATTCCTGGCTGATACAAATTAGCGCAGTTTCACTGTACTGCTAGATAATTCACAGTTACTCATGCTGGTGCCACCACTATGGCGGGGAAACCACGGTGATAACTGCGATGAGACGAGCACTAGCAAACCGAAATACAACCAGTGAACACCTATACCGCTTCGATACAACGAGATCGAATTACACTGGATATGGATGCGACTGCGTCCTGTCCTGTCAACAGTCAGTGTTGCTCGGTCGACGATAATATTCGGCTAAATTTGCGGCTTGCTTTTCCAATAGACAATTATCGCCGAAATTGCCGTTTACGCGCAGCCTAACGCAGCAGCTTAGATTGGTGCAGCACTTCCACCCCTGCATGAGACGCGATGGCAACGAATGGCCCTTTGCGACAGCCATGGCGACAGCAAACCCTGTCGTCGTCACTCAAAAATCACGGGCGTGTGGGCGGGCCTTAAAATTTCGTATTTGCAGGAAGCGACCGTCGGTTGGTGTCGGCACTTTTGTGACCTTCGCTTGCTGTGAGCTAGTCAGCTGCGATGCCTCCACATTCACACTGTTCGCGAATCCCCCTGTGGTGCATGAATAAATTAAAAAAGAGGTGGAGCGCTGTGGACAGATATGAAGAAAAACAATATGGCAGCGGGCGAGGGGGAGAGTGAGCAAAAAGGAAGGGGGTTGGCACAATAATAATAATACAATAATAAAAATATGGAAGAGATCCAACGGGTAAGGAGGCGCTAGGTGGCGGTTAGCGGGACTACAGCGAACGAATGTAAGTGGTGCATTTATTACGCGGGAAAAATGAAAATCAAAATTTTGATGACTTAAGTTGGGGTTCCGTTTATTATCGAATTGCATTCATTACGCACGTAAATACGGTAAATAAAATCTAGGAGACTTTAGCGTTGGGTAGCACACAAATTGAAAACATAAGGAAGACTTGGCAAGAATGCCATGGGGAATGGCACGATTGCTCAAGAAGTTTTCTTTTCATCTGGTTCGAATGGATAGGTGTCATCTAGTGGGGCCCACTTGAACCAGGCAAGCGCAAAATTTTGATTGCACAAACATCGTGCATTCTACTTCTGGTGTGAATGCCTTGCAGCAGCGCAATTACAAGTGAAGTCATTCTTTTTTAATCATTTTTTTCCTTGAAAAAACCTAGGCAAATATGACGTGTTTATGCACAAACCGTCACAAGATGTTGACACCATCGTCCAGTAATCCTGCCTTCCTACAACTTTTTAAGTATGCCCAATGATGCTTCCGAAGTCTTCCGATTTGGAGCACTTTGGAGCAGCGAAATTTTCCATATCGAAGCAATCTGGAGCAGATAACTTTAAATCCTGGAGAAGGAAGTTGCATTTACGTTCAAGAACATAAAAAAATATTCTGAGGCTCTTGTAGAGAGCTAGAAATATTTAGATTTATTGCAAATGTCATGGAGCCAATCATCTTAGAAACACTCCCTATTTCAGTTGATGATGCAAGAATAATGGCATCATGCTGTTGAGCATTCTGAAGAAACTTATTCAGTGATTATTTCTGTAGCAAATAAACAGAATACTTCTTGATTGAAATTGTACTTTATGAAATAACAATATAAATACACCTATGTGGTTATCAGCAGATATCGTAGACAAACGCTGTGATGCTAGAGACTCGCACAGTCCCAACTGCGTTTCCATAAGATGACTTCAAAAATAAAGAAAAGTTCTTTTTCTTTACAAACGAACAGACCGCTGGGCGTAACATGATCCCATTCAGCTAGTCTTAGAAAGCCAACCTCCTCCAGCACTGATATCTGTGCTGAAACCTACAGGACTTACGGAAAGACACTCCCCGAAAAAACTTTTTTTTTATCATTTGTGCTAGAGACTTGGAAATTCAGCTAATTAGAGAGTTCTTCGTGTAGGTTTCAAATCTACAATTAGTTTTTGTGTAGCTGATATAGTTATTGAGTTATATTACACTAAATGACAAATTATAGCTGTCTGTACGGGCACATTTTCATGTACTAAACTTTTCGAAAAAGTATCGTGCTATGGTTTACTTAGCTCTTTGCATATCATAGAGTGCCGATATATAGCAAAGAAATGTGTACAGTTACTAGAAAGTGCTAAAAAAATTATGAAATTTCAACCAGTGTTTCTTTCAGTTCCCTGAAATATAACCTTGTTTTATTGTAATTACTACTGAGAGGTAGCGCAATTTCAAGTAGATATCGGCCCTCTACATACCTTCAAGAATATGCACGCCAAATTTCGTTAGTATGCGCCAATCCTAAGTGTACGAAAGGTTTCCTGGAAAACATGCAAGTTTCCAAAAATTTGAAAAATGAGAAAAACAGGCTTGAAAGTTACAAAAGCATGTATTCCTGAAAATTAAATTGTTACGATTTGAATCTTCAATTACATTGAATAGCGGCCTTTACGGAAAGCACACAAAGTGTTCAGAACCCTCCCGCACTGTAGCTTGGCCCTTCACGGCTCCTACGGTTGGTCTCCTCGGTGCGAGCCCTTTTTCACTGCACTCAGACGGTGTGCCTTTGCTTCTGCCGTGCGCTTCAAGTTCATTTTCTTTATGCGCAGGTCATCGCAACGGTCAGTGTGCATGGCCAACTCTTCTAGAGGAAGTACTCCAATCTCTTGTAGGACATGCTCAAAGCTGGCATGGCCTTTATTATACCACAGCACGGCAATAGCTGTGGCTGTCTCCACAGATGTCTGGGAAGCAAATTTCGTTTTTGGACACAGCAGCCATACTTAACTGCTGAGTGACTCGGCTGCGTTTTGCGTCTTTCCATCGAGGCACCGAGCCAGGAGCTTATCAGTAAGGCGCTTATAAATAGGCATAATTGCCAAGCCCTCTGCTTTATTCAACAAGGGGGTGTGGCCTTGTGTAGGCCACATCCCCTTTTTGCTTCAGCATGCCTATGCTTTTATGGCTACTGGCTCCATCACTGGAGCAAGAATGAAAATAAGAGGCCCATATAACAGTGTACATGCTGCGGACACTGCCCTTGTTATTTGTTGTAGCTATTTTATAATATGTCTGCAGCTTCTGAACGGCTGTGACTTTTAGCTTTTCCCCACATTGCAGTGGTGTTGCCATTTTTCGCAAAGCAGTGC